AGGTGGAGAGAGAAGGGGGAATTGTCATTGATCTTGCTGGTGTACATCTTCTTCTTCTTCTTCTTCTTCTTCTTCTTCTTCTTCTTCTTCTTCTTTCTCTCTCCTCTGGTCTCTATCTCTTTGCAAGTGCTTTCATTCTTTCACAATTGGGTGGCATTGTCTTTCATTGTGAATTTGCACTTTGGAACTGACCAGGATCGTAACAATTGGTATCGGAGCGGACTAACTTGCTGGCGAGAGGTGTTAGTCACCCTAAACCTAATTCCGAATTAGGTTAGGGCTAACCTAATCTCGGATTAGGGTTAGGAAGTTAGGTTTAAGTGGGGCAGCGAGGTATGTGGATACTGCCCCCACCTGGTTAGGTCATGTAGGGTCGACATTAGACCTGACCAGGTTGCTTGAGTGATTGGATGGGGTGGCGAGACACAAAGGAGGCTGATTGGAGTAAGCGAGAGGGAGTAGAGAGTGAGAGGTACTCGCACCTGGAATCTGCACTTCAAGAAGACATTGAATGACTTTTGGGCTTCCCCTCAAGATGGAGACTTGATCGGAGGCTGCGATATCTGCATCGAATTGCTGCAAGTTGCTACTTTGGTCTTCAGACATTGACGGGGGATCCGGCTTTGCAACAGGGGTGTAGGAAGGCCCTCTTAGTCATGCTAGGACACTTCGTGTAGTGGTAGCTAGGGGTCACGAGGACTTATGAGAGAGGGGGGTGAGTCGTTATCCATCTTTGGAGGCCGGGCCTCACAGGTAAGTGTCGTGTGACCTGGTTAGCCCGTGGGAGGTTGCTTGGTGCTTCATGGCCTGTTGGGGTGTGCTGGGCTCTCTTCCTCTTCTCTGCGGTCTTGGCTGTGTGTGTGTGAGCGTGTGGATTGCTTTCTCACCTGATGGATGGATGGATGATGTATCTGTTCTAAATGACATATCTTTCTACGGTGCAATGTCTTTTCATTCTGAATGGTTGAAGGGGTAAGTTCTTGCTAAAAGTTGTCTTTTCCTTTTCAGTGCGGTAGAAGCAGTTTGGGACCGACTTGGTACCCCTATCTCATTGGTCCTGGTCCACGACCTACTTGGGACCTCTTGGGACTCAGTGGGACCAGGCCCAACGGGACAGGACCTTTCGGGCCCAAATCTGTTGCCGCTTGTGCATCTCTTTGCTGCGCTGAACTTGGGGGACATACGGCTAGCAAGGGCATTCCTTTCAAGGGGATCTTGACTGGTCTTACTGCATGTTATCTCATACTGCCCCGCGTCTGGCTCGACGACCATCTGCACCCCTTGAAATCTCCATTGCTGCAGTTAGTTTTCTTCGGCTGATTTACTGTGGTACATGTACCTTGTCAGGTTAGACAAGAGGGGATCTCCAGCTAAACTGATCGGGCCCATTCGATAAGTCAGTCCTCTCTTCTGTTTTATTTTATTTATTTATTTATTTATTATTTTATTCTGCTGCGTGCCATTCTCTAAGTCCAAATGAATCGCCGCTCCGACTAGGAGTTCTACCTTCTACTCTGTGTGATTAATGATTGTTTCTTTCATCTGAACTATCTATGTCCGGTATCGAGACGCGTGCGCAGACAGCGGAGAGAGAGAGAAGGGAGAGAGGTGGTGTTCTTCTTGAGAGTGCGAGGAAGGGCAAGAAAAGTGTTCGTCCAAACGCGAGGAGAGAGCGGACTCCTTATGAGAGAACTGCTAACACCCCTTCCTCCGGCATGGCAGACATTACATCTGCCCAATGGCAGGCCATGCTGGACGCAACAGACGAGAACGAGAAACCGTTCTTCCAAAAACTTTATGATGATGCCGTGCAGAGGGAAAGGGAGGCAGAGACAGTAGCCAGAGCCACCAACATTGCTGATCAGGTGGCCCTCCTTCAGGTCCCGGAAGCGAACACTGACCGGTTCCAAGAGAGGCTAGCTGCTGCCGTAGCAGCCTTGGTTCGGCTGCAGACCTTGGAAGACCTTGAGACCCGTGTGACAGCACTGGAACAGCGGAACCAAGAGCTGCAGGCTGAGATAATCAGCCTCAAACAGTCCCAACTGTCTGCCCCCCGCCCTCCTAACCCTCGACCTGTTGCAGTCCCAGTCTCTCAATCTAACACAGTCCTCATGGCAAGAGCAAGTGGAACTGTGACCAGCGCAGGAACCGGTGGCAGCTCCTCAAGCGGCAGCGCCGACAGTTCTTCACTAGTCGTAGTCCCAAATGCAGGTTCATCAGTCCAAAACGCCACAGTCCTTACTGGCGTACAGTACAGCGGTCCCGTAGTGGACAAGCGGGCGGCCACACTGCCGTCCAAGTACGATGGAAAAGGGGACATCACCTCTTGGATTAGTTCCATGCGCTCATACTTCGAGGTAATGCGGACAGCGCAGGAAGACCGAAGTATGATCATGGGCACTAATACTGGGCCCGCCGTACGGAATCACATTGAGCTCCAAGCTGTTGCTGCAGGTTATGAGAGAATTGACCTGACTGAGTGGCTGAAAGTAACCCCTGTACGCACCCTTGAGGACCTTCTCATCACACGGTACCAAGATAAGCACGCTGCGCTCAAAGCAAGGTTGAAGCTTGAGGCGCTCAAGGGCCAAACATGGAGGTCCTCCATGCAGGCTTTGGAACAACACTTGACTGGTCGGTTCACCACTCCAGGCCTGGGAATGAAGCAAGTGGAACTGCAGAACCCTTGTCAGACCCAGGTGGGAAACCAAGAGGTTGTCACCTCCACACATGTTGTGAAAGGTGTGTGCGTCACCTTTGACAAGGACTGCACTGTCACACATGAGCTCAACTTTTATGTCATGGACAAGTGTCCGTTCGACGCGGTCATTGGCTTGGGCTGGTTAAATGCTCATTGCCTAAGGACCACGTGGGCGGACAATCAGTTCGTGGTGCGTGATGCCAAGGGGAACGAGCGTACCGTCTTATTGGATGAAACGCGCGAGTCCCCTGTGACCCCTCTTCTAAGTGCAAACAAATTCTGCAAATCAGTGCGCAGGCGCAAGGAAGTTGAGCATGTACATGTAGCTTTTGTAAAGCCTCTCCATGTGCCTTCTACTTTTGTTGCATTTTCTACCTCGACAAGTAACTCTACCTCTACCACCTCTACTTCTAATCCATCTACTTCTACTGTGAATAATCCATCTACTTCTGAGCCAAGTACTTCAAATCCGGTTGTAATTGCTGTAAATTCTCAATCTGATTTTCTTTCTCCTGACGAGGACGATCCTCCACCAGAAGTCCCAACAACCATTCGTCGGCTATTAGATCGATTCCTTGAAGTTCTGGCCGAACCTCGTGGAGTTCCCGAGCGTCTGGTCAAACGCAAGATCGAGATAATA